GGGGGGCGGGGGTCCCCGGGGCTGTCAGGGGGAAAGGGCCCTGGGAGCCGGTCGGCGGGAGGGCTGGGCCCTCGGCCGGCAGGAGAGGATACGAGGAGCTTTCTTCTTTTCCTCTTCGCAGAGCTTTGTTGAACTAGCTGTTGCTGCAAAACCGACGGGAGAATCCCACGGTTTACCGTGGGGACCACAGGCGTGGGGGTCCTGGGGGGGCTGTGTGTAAAAATAACCGGGTACTCTGTGTAATTTTTTTTGTTTGCGACCCAGTTTGAACGAGACTTGTAGTGCGACTCTTCTCCGTGCAGGCCTGTTTTCCCTCCACAACTACTACTTGTAGATTCACTTCATTTCATATCATGCAAAAGGGGAGAAACACGTACTGTACCTCCCTTTCTGACGGCCAAACGGGGGGCTGATTGTGGTCCCTCGTAGCAGAAAAAATAAAACACTGAATCCAAAATAAAGCCTGTTGATTAGCCAAGGCTTGTCAAAATTGGTATTGCTGATCTTAACGGAAACGTGTGTTGTCAACCGATCTGTGCGGTGGTCGTGGTTCCGCTTAATTGCCCTGCAATGGAAGGATTCGATCCCCGTCCCAGGCTGTCGGGATCTCCGCAGCTTCCAGAGCTGGCAGGGGCTGTGAGTGCTGCATAAGTAGGTCCTGGAAGAAAGGGAGTGGCAAGAACTCGGAGTCCCTGTGTTCAGAGATTGGAGGAAACCTCAACGAAAACGAGACATCACCTCCTATTCTAGACGTAACAACGTTTTGAAACTGGCAACGACTGGATATACCTCTTCCTTTACCTGCGCTGACTGGCAATTTGAGTTCTTGAAAAGAGTGCTGGAAGAAGATGCATGCTGATTCTTGGACGAAGCTCTCATTCTGGACGATACCTGGATTTTAAAGTTTCTCTTACCAGCTACTTTATGGGGCTTACTTCAGTTCATTTTTTTTTCCAACGCTCGTTTGCGTTATGTGATGAAGATTGTTAGTGATTACCTAAAAAAAAAAAAAAAAACCTTCTGAAACTTTTTTCAGTATAATTTGAATTTTCAAAATAACGAAGTACTCTGATGATTTTGATTTTCCCCCGATTACTTTGATCCTGCAAAGCCTGTAACTCAATCTAACTTGTATTATCTACAAGTAGAAGAGCCACTTTTCCACCCCATTTCCTATTCTTAAGGAAAGTCCCAGAAGAGTCTTTTATTATGCACATTTTATAAATGCATATTTTTTATGATGGCATGTTTCTTACCTCCGCATAGAATATTAAATACCGAACTTTTACTTATGCTATCATACCGTAGTACACTGAGACAAATATAATGATAAATTTATCCCTGCCTCTTGAGGTTGACATTGAATTTTATGAACTCCAAAAATATGGACTTCAGAATATGTTTTAACACTTGTTTTACATTTGCCAACATTTAATGTAAATATAGCCTTTGTTTTCTAATATGAAAATCAAATCTAATTTTCATTTTTATTAACCCTCACAATCTGCTCTGTACCTTGAACTCTGAATTTATCAGGGATAATATTCAAGACCTAGAAGGAATGTCAGGGGTTTGTCTGATCTTATATAAATGTTGCTTAAACTCTTTCTTTCACACTGTTGCTTAAGACTTCATTATCTGGTATCAACTTTTCTTCTGTAAGTCAGCAACCAAAACTAACCCCTGAACCATAATAACATCCCAATCTCAAAAGACCTAGAAATTCAGGGCCCCTTAGTCTGTCCAAGCTGCAAACGATATAGTCCATTATGTTTAATTTTTACTTTTCAAGCTCTTTGCTGCCCCAGTTATTTAGTGGACTGGATTTGCCTTCAGACCCCGTTCATTGTTTTCCCTGTGGATTATTTGGTCCTGTCATTTATAACATGCTCTTTTATGTTTTTAAGAAAATGTCAACAATAGCAGACCTAATTCTAGTACATAATGCTAACACCAGCAGGTGTTTTCTATGTTGGGCTGTGCCTCTGAGGGCAGTCCCTTATTTTCTGTTTCCTGGATTTTTTAAATCCTTATTTATTTTTCAAAGCATTCAATTATGAGATTGTGAGCACTTTTTCATTGTCCAATAATTGATAGTCATTTTCTTTCTCATACTGTCTTCAGAAGTCCTTATTCCTATTCTATTAGATTACTCAACTTTGTATTATGTTAGCTTTCATGTTACTAAAAAAAAGGCCTGCTTATAAGTCTCAAGACCTCCTTTTACTTATATTTAAAAGTGTGTCTTGTTGATGACAGTTCAATGACTATGACATTGAATATTTAAGATATTTTGTCATTATAAATTCAATATTTTAGTGGAGATGCACTGTTTCCAAATGGATACAATTCCTTGTGACATTCTCCCTCTCCTGCCTTCACCCCTTTTGAAATGAGCACCATTGGTGGAAGGGAAGGACAGTAGATTCCACTTAAGAAAGTTTAGTACTTACATGCTGGAATATGAAAAACTGACTACATGGTGTGCTTTATCTTCTCACATTTTTACATGAGCTTATATCCCCTTTATTTTCAATGAAAAAATTCAGTTTATCTTTAATCCAGTTTGGTTTCTTTACTGTAGCTTCTCTTATCTTAACAAAGTCCATTCATTTCACTTCTCAGGGAAGTGGAGAATTATTTTTATATGTTTCTTTTCTTACTCTTACTTGGAAATCATATTTGGTAATACATCCTTTTCTCTTTCAAATTTAGGCTTACCTGTGCCTTGTATTTTACTTTACAAATAAGTCTTTTTTTTTTCTTCTTTTAAAAAATGTGATTATTATGAAAATTTATCATGTTAATCAAATTCATATTTTTTTTCCACAAAAGTTACATATTTTGGTATTATACACACCTACCTGAAGGGATGAGTAATATGTTATTGGAGTCCTCTTCAGTATTTCTAAGTCCTTTTATAATAGTGAGGGTAAAAAAATTTAAATAACCAATCAGAATAATTTTTAAGCATTTGGCAAGCTAGATGAGAACATTTTCAAAATCTTTAATATGCAGTTTTTAAATTTTCTGCAAATACTTTCTGCAAGATTTGTGACATTGCTTATCTTTAAAGTGTTAGAGCAACTTTACTTTGCAGTGTGGTTTGTAGCACCTTCAAAGTCAAATGGTCATAAAACATGAAAGCCAAAAACATTTTTTAAAATAGTGCAATATTTAGAACATTAAATCAAATAAATTTTCTTGTTATCTTACTTATTAGTGAAGATCTTAATCATAACATTTGTATCACCAGTGGGAAAATGATTAATTCTCCCAGTTTTCACCTAGCCTTTAATAAAGGCTTGTTGGGGACCAGCAGGTGGCATAATGTTTATGTCACTGGACTCCCATATGGCCAACTGTGGTTTGAGTCCCAGACCCAGCAGCTTAAAACTTATGCTGGGCACATGTGTTTGTGTGTCCAAAATCCCGAGAAGAGAATGGAAAAGAAGGGATTGTGGTGTGGCCATCCCCTGGAGGATTGGGGAGTGATTTCTTGCTTTCTGTCTCGCTCTGTCTCTCCATTGAGCACATGCATCCCTATAGCAAAAATCTCTCTAAAAAAGAAAAAGAAAGCTTGTTAGTGTTGACGGCATGGCCAACTAATATAAGCGGTACACCTACTTTTACACTTGTGTGAATGAAAAAACTCATATAGCCCTGAAAAATGCACACAGGAAAAGTTATGCTTTTCTTTAATGTCCCCATAGTGTTACAGTTTGTTTATAAATTGCAATTCAGTAGATCTTACTACTTTACCAATCCAGTGGGTAGGATTTTGTGGTCTTCCAGTGTAATCTGTCTTCTTCCACATCTTGCTTTATCTGTGCATTTTGTAACCATGAGCAAATCTATCCCTCTGATTTAATGTTGGTTTTTACACTGTCTCAGTGTTGTCGATCCTGTTGGCATTTCAAAAATTCTCATTAATTTTGGAAGTATTTTTTATATAGGAGGTATATACTTCCTAAATGACCTTTATTCATGAATCAAATCTAATTAAACCTAGCATCCATCCTACAGTTCAACCCCAATATATTTACAAACAATGACGAGGTGACAAGACACCTCTTTTATTTCTTGCTGCCCTTCCAATTGGCCCTTGGATCACTACGCATTTCCACCTGGAAGGTTGCTTCTCCACAGTGATTTCGCATTACAGGAAGGTTTTCCTTCTTTGTTTCTCAGACCTGGTCCTGTAGACGGGAAGGAGCCTGGACACAGTGACATTCTCAAAGGCCCCGCAGGACCGCCATGGCTTATGATGACTCCGTGAAGAAAGAAGGTATGACCTCTTAATCTGAGAAGCATTCTAAAGGGGGTATCCTCATCAATTCTTGCAGCCCATGGACATAGAGACCAGGACTGGGCACCACAGCCTGGACTCCCAAGTGATGGTCCAGAGCACTGTCATGGCACTCAGCCTCTACGTCATCCCCAGACTGGGCCCGTGGAAATGGAAACCAGGACAGGGGTTCCAACACAAGAGTCTGAATTTTGAGCCTCTTAGTTTATTGGGGTGAGCCCCTGCAGCACTCTTGGTCCTTGCCAGCTCCAGTGTGCAGGAGTCTGGGGGTAGGAATCACACATTGGACTCCCACAGAGCAGCACAGCACATGATTCTTTATTCCGTTCAGCCTTACCTCTGCAAGTCTGTCTACCTGCTAAATCACAATGTCTGAGGATGCATCCCTGGCTTTTGCCTAGTATGTAAGCATTTTTTCTTCAGGTTTGATTCCTGTATTTGCAGCCTGGTCATCAGGAAATACTCTTCTCCCCCTGGTCTAGCCGTCTAAATGTTGTTCTCCATGGTCTAGGTATATCACTGGACTTAACTGAAGCATTACTTGGATATAGAGGGCCTGTTACGTTATACCTATGGTGGTTTGGCCATTATTTACTTGACTCTCATTCCCTTTCCCAAATGAACCTGTGCTGCTCAGACTGCTGTGATGGTGACCACATCTTTGAGGACATAGGACTTGCAGCTGGCCGAAGCCAACGAGAAAAGAAGCGCTCTTACAAAGATTTTTTAAGGGAAGAGGAAGAAATCGCTGCTCAGGTCAGGAATTCTTCAAAGAAGAAGCTAAAGGTAAGATCTAAATATTTGAGCTAGGAAGGTTTTAAACTACTTATATTTTCTAACATTGAAAGAAATGTCTTTTATAAACTTTAGAGAAGAAAAATAAAACACTGTCTACATCTGTTTTATTATTTCTAGTCCTTCACTTTGTTTTCCACAGTAAAACAATCAGAACAAGAGTAGTTTCCAGCTACTTTTACCTCATCATCTTAACTGTTGATCCATCCTTCTTCCACTTTAATTCCAGGATAGTGAACTTTACTTCTTGGGGACGGATACGCACAAGAAGAAGAGAAAGCACTCTTCTGATGATTACTACTATGGAGGTAAGGGTGGGAAAGGGCTACAGGTGGGATAAACACATCACTGGCTCTTAGAGTCGGGATAGGGGAAAGGGATCCAGATGTTGCTGACACAGTGGCCTATTTAACAGGACAGTGGTTCTTGTTCTGAGTGCCGATAAACCAGTGTGAAGGAGGAGAGAGGTGGAGGGCTGGTATTTTGGAGGATTCAGCATAGAAGAACAGCCTTCATTTGTGATACACCAGGTACCAGGTTCCTTCTCTCCCCAATCATCCACTTATCTTGTGCCCATTGTTATCCAGTATCCCTTTTGTCATATGTAGTCCTTGGGCCTCTGGCCTGCATCTGTGGGTCACTTTTCAACTGTGTATACCCACCCACAAAACCAGTTTTCTTAGCTATGTCATGCATACAACTGATGAAATACTCTTTTACCAGAATGAGATTGTTCTGAACACAGAAATGAATGATAACTCTCTGCAGTCTCATCTATATTGACTTTAATTTGTAACTGCAATCCCATGGCTGTAGTCTGTTCTTCTGGGTATAGTCTCTTTGGCTGCTTTTGAAGACTCAGTGAAGAGAAGAAACTGGTGTGGCAAGAACTGTCTCCAGGGTCAGAGGCAGACAATTCTACCAAGCCAAGAAGCACATGGTCATCATCTCTGAACCTTAGGAATCAGTCCGAGGGTCTCCCCTCAGATCATTTCTGTTGGCCTCTTCCTCATGTTAGTTGGATGTTTTGGTGAGAAAGGAAGAAGTTGCTTTCTATAACACTAACAGTACTTCTCTTTGATTATTTCTAGACATTTCGTCTTTGGAATCGTCACAGAAGAAAAAGAAAAAGTCCAGCCCGCAATCTGCCGATACAGCTATGGACTTGTTGAAAGCTATCACTTCCCCACTGGCAGCAGGCGCCAAGCCCTCCAAAAAGCCAGGTGAGAAATCCTCTAGTTCTTCAAGCCACTCGGAGTCTAAAAAGGAACACCACAGGAAGAAAGTCAGTGGGAGCAGTGGGGAACTACCCGTGGAGGACGGTGGCTCCCACAAATCCAAAAAAATGAAACCACTCTATGTAAACACAGAGACATTGACCCTTCGAGAGCCTGATGGTTTGAAGATGAAACTTATTCTCTCACCAAAGGAGAAGGGAAGCAGCTCAGTTGATGAGGAATCTTTTCAGTACCCCTCTCAACAAGCAACTGTGAAAAAATCCTCCAAGAAATCAGCTCGGGATGAGCAAGGTGCTTTACTCCTAGGACATGAGTTACAGAGCTTTCTGAAAACAGCCCGGAAGAAGCACAAGTCATCCTCAGACCCACATTCATCTCCTGGCCCAGAAGGCTGTGGGTCAGACACCTCCCAATTCCCAGAATCCCACAGTGCTAATCTTGATCTTTCAGGACTTGAACCTATCCTTGTAGAATCAGACTCATCCTCTGGTGGGGAGCTGGAGGCTGGAGAACTAGTGATAGATGATTCTTACCGGGAAATCAAAAAGAAAAAGAAGTCAAAGAAGAGCAAAAAGAAGAAGGACAAGGAGAAGCATAAAGAGAAGCGGCACTCCAAGTCCAAGAGAAGTTCAGGGCTTTCTGCTGCCGCAGCGGGAGAGGTCACAATGACTCCTGGACCCCCTCCCAGCATCCCGTACACTGGAGCCGCTGCCACTCCCCCACCACTTGCTGGCCTCCACACAGATGGGCATAGTGAGAAAAAAAAGAAGAAAGAAGAGAAGGACAGAGAGAGAGAAAGGGGAGAAAAGGTAAATATTTTTTAAAGTGTGGAGGGGAGCATGAGATGAAGGAGGTTCTTCCTGGATAGAAAGTGGATTTGGAGTTAGCAAGTGAGGTGAGCCACTGGGAATTTAGCAGGATCAGAAGGTTCTGTGGAAATGATGTAAAGCATACAGTATCACCAGGGGCCAAGTCTCCATCTAGTGTCTTTCACTTAGCAGCACTATCTGCCTGGTAGTTGAGAGATGTGAAAATGTGTCTTTTTGAGTTCATTTTGAAAAATAGATTTTCAAAATTAATAGGCCAATCAAGTTAACAGAAGAAGCTAACAGCTTTCCAGTAACCAAGGTTGTCTACTCTCTGGTACTCTTGTTAGTGTGAAATGTGTATTCCTCACTGCGTGCATCCTGTATGCCAGGCTCAATGTTATGGTTAGTGCCAGAAGGTTCCAAGAGGAACAGAACATAGTCCTTGACCCCAGGGAGCTCACTGTTCACTGGGGAGCTAGGAATGCGAAATCAGTCACCTCAGTTTGATATCTTTCCTCAAAACTCAAAAAAGGTTTTGATTTGTACTTTAGGGTCTGATGACTATATCATTAAATGTTTCCTTTAAAAAAAATAGACATTTTAGGGACCAGCAGTTAGCGTAATGGCTATGTCGCTGGACTCCCATGTAGTCGATCGCAGTTCGAGTCCCGGACCCGGTGGCTTAAAACTCACGCCCGGCGCGTGTGCGTGCATGCCCAAGATCCCGAGAGGAGAATGGAGGAGAAGGGATTGCGGTGTGGCCATCCCCCCCTGGGGGGTGATTTCTCTCTTTCTGTCTCTCTGTCTCTGTCTGCCTAGCAAGTGCACGCGCCCTATAGCAAAAACCTCTCCAAAAAAAAAAAAAAATAGACATTTTAGGGGGCCAGCCGATAGCATAGCTGTTACATTGCTGGACTCCCCTCATGGCTGACCGCAGATTGAGTCCCAGACCTGGTGGCTTCACACTCATGCCAGGCACGTGTGCCCAAGATCTCAAGAGGAGAATGGGAGAAGGGATTGTGGTGTGGCCATTCACTCTAGGGAGTGATTTCTCACTTCCCCTCTCTGTCTCTCTCTTTCTAGCAAACACATGCCCCCTAAAGCTAAAACCTCTTTAAAAAAAAAAAATTGTCCCTGTTATCAAAGTAATATGTTATTTTTGTACAAATTCAGAAACTCAGAATAGTAGGGGGTATCATAAATCTGGGAGTCATCTGATAGAATAGTGGTTAAGTTGACTGGAGCCCATATCACTAGCTGTGGTTGAGTCCTGGACCCAGCAACTTGAAAAACATGCGAACACTTGTGCATGTGTGCCCAAGAATCCTGAGAGGAAAATGAAGGAGAAGGGATTGTGGTGTGACCGTCCTCCCTGGAGGGTGATTTCTCACCACCACCCCCAACTTGTCCCCACCTACCGTCTTGTCCTGGTGAGGACATGCACCTTCTAGCAGAGGTGCTAGGGGGTGATCTCCACCTAAGGACAAATGTTCTCTCCCTCTATTTATATTGGGTCATTAGAAAAGTCATGATGTATTTTTTTCTATGCAAAAATGTATCATCACTTCTCTGACAACCCAAGATTTCTGCAAAATGAGTGTTACGTAAAATCTAAAAGAAAAACTACTAAGAAAGAGAAAATCAAATGTATTAAGAATTTGGTAGGGGCTGACAGGTAGCTTAGTGGCTGAGGCACTGGACTCTATATGGCCAACCATGATTCGAGTCCCGGACCTGGTGACTTGCTTTCTTACTTTGTTTCTCTCTCTCTGGTCAAATTAAAGAATAATAATAATGAATAAAATTAAATAAATCATTCTTTAAAAAGTAATGATGATGATTTGGGAACGAGGGGGCCATCAAGTAGCATAGTAGTTAAGGTTCTGGCTCCCACAAAATTGACTGCAGGGTTCAAGCCCTGGACCTGGAGGCTTGTAAAACACACCAGGCATATGCGCGTGCATGCCCGAAATCCCGAGAAGAGAATGGAGGAGAAGGAATTGCAGTGCCCATCCCCCCTGATTTCTTACTTTTCCTCTCTCTATTTCTTTCTGCCAAGCACATGCACCTTACAGCAAAAACATTTTTTTAATAAGGAAAAAAAAAAGAGAAAATGGGAACTTCGTTTTAGTCTTTGAGGTAAAGGTTATTTCCACACTATGAAGGGTGCCTTTTTAAAAAGTGTGTTTCTATATTTATCTCTCTCAGAAAGAAAAACAACACTGTATCTTCTGAGTTAAGAATCAGTGGATGCATTAAGACCCAAATATTAAGTCCAGTTTTATTCATTTGTTATTTGAGAATTGATTCATGAAATAGAGTGTCTTCTGTGTAAGGTTCTATCATGAGAATTTCCATGGGGTCAGCAGGTGACCTAGTGGTTAAGGCACTAGACTCCCACATGGCCAATCACAGTTCGAGTCTCAAGCCTAGCAGCTTAAAACTCACTCCAGGCACATGTGTAGCTGTTACATTGCTGGACTCCCCTCATGGCTGACCGCAGATTGAGTCCCAGACCTGGTGGCTTCACACTCATGCCAGGCACGTGTGCCCAAGATCTCAAGAGGAGAATGGGAGAAGGGATTGTGGTGTGGCCATTCACTCTAGGGAGTGATTTCTCACTTCCCCTCTCTGTCTCTCTCTTTCTAGCAAACACATGCCCCCTAAAGCTAAAACCTCTTTAAAAAAAAAAAATTGTCCCTGTTATCAAAGTAATATGTTATTTTTGTACAAATTCAGAAACTCAGAATAGTAGGGGGTATCATAAATCTGGGAGTCATCTGATAGAATAGTGGTTAAGTTGACTGGAGCCCATATCACTAGCTGTGGTTGAGTCCTGGACCCAGCAACTTGAAAAACATGCGAACACTTGTGCATGTGTGCCCAAGAATCCTGAGAGGAAAATGAAGGAGAAGGGATTGTGGTGTGACCGTCCTCCCTGGAGGGTGATTTCTCACCACCACCCCCAACTTGTCCCCACCTACCGTCTTGTCCTGGTGAGGACATGCACCTTCTAGCAGAGGTGCTAGGGGGTGATCTCCACCTAAGGACAAATGTTCTCTCCCTCTATTTATATTGGGTCATTAGAAAAGTCATGATGTATTTTTTTCTATGCAAAAATGTATCATCACTTCTCTGACAACCCAAGATTTCTGCAAAATGAGTGTTACGTAAAATCTAAAAGAAAAACTACTAAGAAAGAGAAAATCAAATGTATTAAGAATTTGGTAGGGGCTGACAGGTAGCTTAGTGGCTGAGGCACTGGACTCTATATGGCCAACCATGATTCGAGTCCCGGACCTGGTGACTTGCTTTCTTACTTTGTTTCTCTCTCTCTGGTCAAATTAAAGAATAATAATAATGAATAAAATTAAATAAATCATTCTTTAAAAAGTAATGATGATGATTTGGGAACGAGGGGGCCAGCAAGTAGCATAGTAGTTAAGGTTCTGGCTCCCACAAAATTGACTGCAGGGTTCAAGCCCTGGACCTGGAGGCTTGTAAAACACACCAGGCATATGCGCGTGCATGCCCGAAATCCCAAGAAGAGAATGGAGGAGAAGGAATTGCAGTGCCCATCCCCCCTGATTTCTTACTTTTCCTCTCTCTATTTCTTTCTGCCAAGCACATGCACCTTACAGCAAAAACATTTTTTTAATAAGGAAAAAAAAAAGAGAAAATGGGAACTTCGTTTTAGTCTTTGAGGTAAAGGTTATTTCCACACTATGAAGGGTGCCTTTTTAAAAAGTGTGTTTCTATATTTATCTCTCTCAGAAAGAAAAACAACACTGTATCTTCTGAGTTAAGAATCAGTGGATGCATTAAGACCCAAATATTAAGTCCAGTTTTATTCATTTGTTATTTGAGAATTGATTCATGAAATAGAGTGTCTTCTGTGTAAGGTTCTATCATGAGAATTTCCATGGGGTCAGCAGGTGACCTAGTGGTTAAGGCACTAGACTCCCACATGGCCAATCACAGTTCGAGTCTCAAGCCTAGCAGCTTAAAACTCACTCCAGGCACATGTGCACGCGTGCCCAAAATCCCAAGAGGAGAATGGAGGAAAACGGAATACGGCATGGCTATCCCCACTGGGTGAGGAGGACAATTTCTGTCTCTCTCACTGTCTTTCTCTGTCTCTCTGGCGAGCACATGCACCCTATAGCAAAAATCCCAGCAGGTGGCCTGCTGGTTAAGGTGCTAGACTCCACATGGCTGAGCAGTTTGAGTCTTCAGCCTGGTGGCCTGCTTTCTCACTTTCCCCCTCTCTCTCTGTCTCTCTCTAGTTAAATAAAATAATAATAAATCACATTAAATAAAATAATTCTAAAAAGAGAATTTCCATGCTAGTAATGTATGATAATGCCATGAACTAATTGTATAATACTGGGTATGGGAGAGTAGGGTGGTCAGAGAAAGCTTGAAGGAGAGAAGGGATTTCAGTGGACAGGGATGCATGAGGCAGAAAGATGTTGAAGAAGTGGCATAGTGAAATAACCAAATTTTAGTCTTGGGTGTCCAGCTGCCTGGTAAATTCCACCTAGGTATCTTGAGTACCTCCAGCCCATATGTCACTAATTGAGCTCATCACCCAGAGCTCCAAACCGCATCTCCTCTGTCTCCTCCTATATTCCCAGCACCCTGCCAATCAACCCAAACTGAACTATGCTTAGTATTTATTCTCAACATTTTATTATAAAAATTTTCCCAAAAACAGATTAAAAGAATTGTATAGGGAATACCATTATATATCCTCTGCTGAGAAGCTACAGTTAATATTTTGCTGTGTGCTATAATTATCATATATCTAGCTTTCCTTTCATCAGTCCATCTTATCCTCTTTTTAGGAATTATTTTATTGGGACCAGCAGATGGCATAATGGTTACATCACTGGACTCTTATATAGTCACCTGTTTGAGTCCCAGACCTGGTGGCTTAAAACTCACACCAGGAGCGTGCGTGCGTGCCCAAAAGCCCAGCACGAGAATAGAGGAGAAGG